GACATAGTGATATATCAACGCGCAGTCTAAACCACTGGATGGATCGGGCTGAAATTTGGCATGCAGATAGATGTTATGACGTAGGCATCCGCTAAGAAAGGATTTTACGAAACTACACCCATAAGGGGGTAATATGGGATCCACGCGTACGAAGTCGCGGGCGGCCGCTAGTGCTTAATATAATTAGGATACCTGAATAGTAGAGCAGTGTGGGAATCCCTTATACATAAATATGTATACAGACCACTGCACTTTAGACTAATAATTTTGTTGCAATATAGAGTCTATTACCACTACATAGATGTTATTATTAGTGTTTACCTTGAAGTGCTGTCGTCTGTACATGAGGCCAAGCTGAAACTAGGGCATTGACCGGGCACTAATGCACAATATCTAGATTACAGCTCGTTATCTAGCCTTATTGTGCTCAGTTATACCTAACGAACTGATAAGAACAGCCATCACAAGTAACAATTTGCTTTAATTTCATGACCGAACTAGGTATTAGTTTCAATATTTAGATTATAAATTAGAAATTATACTCGTAAATGCCTAAAATTAACGTGCGAAATATAAATGGTAAAGATTTACTTGTGTGGTTAACTCCACTCTCGCTGGGGTGTGGCATGGACAGTCATAATTATCTAGAAACTGTTTAGGCTGAGTTGCACCACCTAACTTTGACCGTAACTTTGACGATAACCGGTGTTTTTTGTATGGAGTTTGACAGATTTTTGACGTTTGTCAAAGTTAAATTAAGATGGTGCAACCCAGCCTAAATATTTATTTAGGGGAAGTACTCATGATCGTTTTCGAGTGTAGGTACGCCAAATCCTCCTTTAGCTTCTGGTAAATTGAGATGTCGTGCTCCTGCTGTAGGGACTAACCTGATGGTGATGACCGATTGATTCAAAACAAGTCACACCCCGATTTGCTTTGGTCAATGAGGACTATCGTTTTTATACTTAACAGTTGGCACCCCTGGCGATTGACAGGACCATACTCTACAGTGGCGCCATCTTGATGAGCGCAAATGCGATAGTCCTCCTACCACTTTCGCGCTCACCAGCCGGCGCCACTGTCTTCGCTACTAGCAAGTGACAGGACATTACTCTACAGTGGCGCCAACTGGTGAGCGCTAAAACGATAGCCCTCATTACGCTAACACAAAAGAGGATTGAATAACCAAATCAAAGGTTCAGCCTACCGGACTTATTTAGAGCATTCCCTGCCGGATCGCTCCTTGAATATCAACGATCGCCTTAATCACCTAACACGTAAATAGCCAAGTATCTAATTCAGGATCCAATTCGGGGCGAAAACAACTTAGTTGTTAGCACACATCTCCCTCACTTTCAGTTCGGAACTTCGGCCTTTCTACGGGCGGAATATTTATATCGTTCTAGTTAATTTACTTAGCGGCAAAAGAACGGATTACTACGGGATAATATGTAACGTAGTTACGCAGTTGTTGGTTTTTACTGGGGGTTAATGATACTCTCCTGGTGTTGATTAAGGTTGCAATAGCAGCTCGTTTAAGACCATTAGACTGTCGTCCTAAAGTTATTGGTAGTTTGGTATTGTTTTAGCAGAAAAATACAAAAGCTTTCAACTAATATGACACGGACATGAATTCCCGAATTTTCCTTTGATGGGCGACTCCTCAGTGATTAGCGCAGTAGCTACAGAGACCTCGTGAAGCCATTATAAATCCAAGAATCTTAATAACTGTTCAACTAATTATTTTGATGTTAGGGAGAGGTAATTAATTATTTAGCTCCTATATCAAAGCTGAGGTTAGTTACCGCGTCTAGGCACTTTCAGAACGTTCTCTACGCAAACGTTTGCATAGGTACGAGTACCGAACAGCGGTTGCACTTGCTTGTAAAACAATTTTAAAGTTTAGCACCACTAATAACAAGATAACAGCCACATGCATTAAGGGTTCAATCAAAAGCGTGAGTGTGCATATAAAGTGTCATACGAGTCATACTTTGATGACGTCGAGACACGTTCAGTTAAGCTCACTCGTAAAACACACATTCTTAAACAAACAGCATGCAAAGTGAAAATAAATTTTCTGACACGGGGTGTAAAACTTTGCTCTTATTATTTTTCAACCGACTTCAAAAAAAAGGAGGAGGTTCTCAATTCGACCCGTATGGTTTTTTTTTTCTTTGTTTGTTACGCGATAACTCCGCCAATTATGAACCGATTTGAACAAATCTTTTTTCGGCGTATAGGTAATACCTCAAGGGTGGTCCCATTTAAATTTANTTTTTTTTTTACTACGAAATAGACGTCGTAGGATTGTATTTTTTTTTTGCCTTATTAGTTATCATAGCAGTAACCATCAAAAACATTTTCGTGCCTTTAACATCAATGTCCATGTTTTATTAAATCGGGGCCACTGTGCGGCTTATCCTTGAATTTTGGGACACGTTGACTATTCGGATAGATCCAGTTAATTCTGTAACCTATTACTGATATCGTTTGAAAGAGCTCGTGAAGCACTTTCAAGATCAGTAAGCAGTTTTTCGATATCTTGTGTAGTTTAGAAATAATCGAATGAGATCACTTATCGTTTCCACCCTGTATTAATAGCACTCACAGTGAACTGCTCACTAGTCTGCACTCAATAATCAAATCAATAAATAATTATAAAAAAAATATATAAATAAACATAAGTTATAAGTTGCACTTTCACATCGACAATAGAAAATATATCATTTTACTGAGACAAAAAAATACAACTATTAAAACATAATCTAGTTATGACAAAAAAAATCATAACATAGATCACTCTAATCCTGAAAAAAAAAAAACTATATGAAAGTAATCTAATTATGAACAAAATTATGTCATAATTTAGATCAATCCACTTCATGAGATAAAAAACTAAAAAGGAGTAATATAATTATGACTAAAAACAAAGTCATAATGTAGATCACTCCAAACCTGAAAAAAAAATGCTTCGATAGTCAAGATCAAAGGTCTTTCTAGAGCATAAATTAATTAAATCCCTCATTTTACAATCACTGGGAAATTTCGGGAGACAAACAGTGTTTTGATAGACAAAATCTCAATGTTTCCCTGACTTTCCAGGTGACCCCTCTATTTCACTGACTTTCCCTGACTGCTATGAGCTTCCCTGACTTTTCCCTGACTTTCCCTGACTTTCCAGAATGTGGACACCCTGATTAAGTATTTAGCTCCTATATCAAAGCTGAGGTTAGTTACCGCGTCTAGGCACTTTCAGAACGTTCTCTACGCAAACGTTTGCATAGGTACGAGTACCGAGCAGCGGTTGCACTTGCTTGTAAAACAATTTTAAAGTTTAGGACCACTTATAACAAGATAACAGCCACATGCATTAAGGGTTCAATCAAAAGCGTGAGTGTGCATATAAAGTGTCATACGAGTCATACTTTGATGACGTCGAGACACGTTCAGTTAAGCTCACTCGTAAAACACACATTCTTAAACAAACAGCATGCAAAGTGAAAATAAATTTTCTGACACGGGGTGTAAAACTTTGTTCTTATTATTTTTTAAATCATAAAAATAATTTATTAAACGATATAACGGTTATATAATGAGTTTTAATTCCTACAAGGACATGTAGTACCTATACTTCTCTTGTGAGAGACTGACCACAGGATACCGATTCAGCGGGTAGTATACTGTATACTGTACAAAGGTGTAATTTGTATGAAAAATTTGGTCCATGTAGGCGGCCTTGTAATTAATTTGCGCTTTAGGGTGAGTATAGACTAGAGACTTTCTATGTAATGTAACGTTCTTGCAATTGGTATAATACAGGCAAAATGTGTCATGTTTGGTTCGTAATAGGTTAATAATAACATTAAAGAACAGCTAATTGTTCTGTTACAAGTTCTAGCTCTAGTACATACTCACCTTTCAACCTTAACACCTGAAGTCCTGCCGTCATGCCTCGTTGATGTAATTAAACTGCCCGGGCCAGTTTATAAAGGGTCGAACAAAAGGACACCCTAACATGTAGTGTTGTTACATTTAATTGACTAACAAGTTACATTATTGCTACTAAAGTTTTGGTGTTTCAATTAACTTTTTTGGTGCCATGTACAAAAGGAATAGATAATTGTATTATCGTAGATCGAAATTGCACTCTTCGGGGAAGATTGTGATCAATAACTAAATTTAAAAAAATATGACAATAAAAGAATCGAATTCGTGTTTAATTGATTGATGATTCGTTTTTATTTAGGATTTTAGAGCATAAATAAATCTAAAAGATTGCACATTTCTTATCTTATTATCCTCGTTTTTAAACAAAATAAAAAGACTGATCAATTTGGCATCATCATATTCTATATTATTTACTAAAACAAAACAATACAGTGGTCTTCGTGAAAATCCTCGGGGGAGGCCTTTGTCCAGCAGTGGACGTCTTTCGGCTGAAACGAACGAACGAATAGTGATAACATTTTTACTTTGTGTAGGATTTGCTTGGGGCAGTAATATAACTACTAATGTTACTACTACAATATATTGAGGAATTTTTTGCTAAATAACAAAATTTAATTAAATACGATATGAACATAAACTTAATCCAAATATTTTGATGATTCCAGAAGAAAATGATACATTTATCGAACGAGGTTACCAGCAGATTGTACCAGATGGGCGTCGACAAGGGAATAATCAATCCTGAGAAATACTCGTTGAAAACGTTTGAGAGAGACGATAGTGTCTATAAAGATCTGTACAAAAAATATGTTTCATTGAACGATCACCCAATTGACTATGAAGAGAGGATTGTAATGAATAATTTTGGTGTTATGGTTGTCACGCAGGAACCATTGCTGGAACCTAAAAACGTGCTTGACATAAGTAACACAACGAAGGATTTCTTAACGTACAATAGCGTAAACTGTAATAAGGATAATTATTACGATGAAATGCAGCAAGTGGCTGATAACAGAAAAATTAACCAGGACTTACCTTTTTCTCGCTAATCTATTACTAAGACGTTTGATATCATTATTTGCATTATGAAATGTGTAGAATATAAAATCAAGAGAAGTTCTTGATGCCACATAGAGCTAACAATTATGGAGACAGTACAGCTTGTATTGTTATTACTGGTCAGCATCAATTTTGTAAGGTGCAATGATATCGGTAAGTTTTTATGTTTATGTCCATTAAAAATTCGTATTTCTATTTTTAAGTCGTCCCAACAAGGCATCTTAGGTATCTTAAAGTCACCATACCTATTCTAAACCTATTTAATTTTTCTGCAGCATTTATTTCGTGGTAATATTTACATTGGTGCAGTTCAGGTCAGATAAGGGTTGTCTCACTCTTATCTTATTTTTATTGTCACGATTAATTACCTTTTGTAGATTATCACTACTTACTACAATAATGTATTTTCTGATTTCAGGCGAGGATGGAGAATCTTCAAATCATTTTACTACCCAACTGTACAAAACTGGCGTCGATTTAGGTATAATCAGCCCTGAAAAATATTCTCTTGAAGCTTTCGAGAGAGACGAAAACAACGTCTTTAAGGATTTGTATGATGAGTACATCTCACTCAATTACAGTGAGCCGATTAATTACAGCGAGTGGATTGTAATGAACAATTTCGGCATTCTGGCCGACACGAAAGAGTCATTGTTCGAGAGGAAAATTACGAAGCGCAGCACGGCAGACAATAAGCGGCGGTTCGTGAATACTGTTCGGAGGGGAGACATATTGGTGTCAGGACGCGGAATAGGGGGTATTGTGGGCCACGCGGCCATCATGACTACGGACAACATCGTGTTGGAGATGAAGGGCGGGCCGAGCGGCACTCCGAGCAACAACCGGCAGCTGAGCAAGCACAAGTGGTTCGACATCCACGCGACTGACTGGACCACTGTCTACCGCGTGCCCAATGCCAACGTAGCCCGGGAAGCGGCCAGGTGGGCCGACCACAAGTATTACAACCCCTCTGGAGGCGCTACTAAAACAATTCACATAACCTATAAAATCGACACTAATATATGGAAGATAAACCCCAGTTACTGCTCGAAGCTCGTGATTCAGGCGTACTACTTCGGCACCGGAAGTAAAAAGGTCATAAACGATGATGTGTCTGTTCGCCGGGTAATCGTCCCGACGTTGATCCCGTCTTACTTTGTTTCTCCGTATAAATTGAGGAATATGGGGAAATTCTAAAAATATTTTTAATGTTTACTTGCCTCGTACTCTATAGCTTTAATGTTAAAAATATCAATAAAATGTATGAATACTTACATGATAAAATGTTTGATTTGACTTTCACGTTTCATATTACTCATATTAGGTACAATATAATGATGACCTTTTCAAAGTAATAAGTTTGAAGGTCAAACGATTAGTGCTACTAATAACAGGGCATCCCCTATTTTTTGTCCGATCAGATCAGTATCAGATCTAAATTAGTTTTATCATCTGTGACCTAATTGTTAAAGTATAAATTGAAACAATTTCACCTTCGACATCACTGAAGTGCAAGACTGCAAAACGAAACATAAAAATAAAAAACGTTACGATGAAGACTCCTATATTCGTGGTTATTTTCTTCCTAAGTTCAAATTTTGCACATGCAAATGGAATTAATTTGGACCTTAAAAGTGAGTTGACATACTTTCTTTCTTTCTTTCTTTCTTTTCAGCCAAATGACGTCCACTGCTGGACAAGTTGACATACTATTAATATAAATTGTATTTAAACATTTTTAGTTGTAGTTACAGAAGTTGACTCAATTTTTTATCGATTGCGTCTACTACCTTCTATAAAAGGTGACCGTAACTAATAGATTTATTAGCGACATAAAGTTTTGTGATAACCAATGGAAAAATCAAGTTATTGAGTGTTTTTAAATATTTCAGGTGATAATAGCCAGCCACCTAGCTCGCCGACCAACGAAGTATACCAGATTGGCATCGACTTGGGAATAATCAACCCTGAAAAGTATCCTTTGGAAGCGTTTGAGCATGACGACCAAAATGTCTTCAAAGATCTTTACAAAGAATACCTCTCGTTGTACGACGACCAGATTGATTATGAGGAGTGGCTTATCATGAATAATTTCGGCATCTTGCCAGATACCCAAGAGTCTCTTTTGGAGAAGAAATCAAATGTCACCAGGTCAAATAACAAGCAGAAATTCCTCAATACTGTAAGGACAGGCGATATCTTGATAACGGGGAACGGAATCGGAGGTCTTGTCGGCCATGCCGCCATCATGACCACTGACAACTGGGTGGTGGAGATGCCGGGAGGCAAAGGCTGGCAGAACGGCATCACAAGCAATAATAGACGGATTAGCAAGAGCGCTTGGTATGAGGTCTTCAAGGCAGGGTGGACGAACGTGTACCGGTGTCGTAACAACGCTGCCGCCAAGGAAGCGGCGTCGTGGGCTACTCGAAGGTACTTTAACTCAAAAGGTGGCAACACGAAGAACGTCCACATCACTTACAAGATCACCACCAACACCGCGGTCGTGAACACCAGCTACTGCTCCAAGCTCGTCGTGCAGGCCTACCACTACGGAACTGGCAGTAGGAAGGTTATTGACACTAGCAAACTTAACAAGATTATCGTACCCACCACTGTTCCTTCGTACTTTCTATCTGGTTATACATTACGAAACATTGGAAAATTCTAAAAATAGTTTTAAGTATAACAATTGTAAGTTAAGGTATAATTTATGGTTTAAATAAATCAAGTCTTTATTGTGTTTACTATATAAGTAAGTTACAGTTGAACCAGTGTGATTATTTTGAACCTTTCTTACTTACATACGATAGGTATTATTAATGCATTATTACCAAAATGTTCCTTTATAGCGGTAAATAAGTACGAGTATATTTTGATGAAATGTAGTTTTTATTGTCTTTTTCTCTTTTTTTTGTAGATGGATTGTCTATGGTTTAATGTATTTTATAATTTTAAATAACACAATCTAGTATGCAAAATTATCCTATACATATATACAACAAAATGTTATTTCTTAAGTAATGAACTTTGATAAGAATACAGTAGGTACATTCAATAAATCTTCATCTAATACATTGGCATCCCAACAAGTTACAGTAGCCGCCGCTGAAACCGTTCCTCCTGCAGGTGGCCATACACTGGTTGAAATTACAGGGCACTGGTATTATGCCTGACATTGCATAGGACCCTGTTGGTAGAGAACAAAACAATTAAAATACTGTTAAAGCCCTACTGAATTTAAATATACCTATTTGGCACTAGGTGGCAGATAATATCGTGGAAAAGCAAAGGCGGTCATTGTGCGCGTAAGTCACTAGCGTGTTTTTAACTTTTTACCTATAACTGTGTAATTGAATTGAAAAAAAAAATGAATAAAATACTTATTTAATTATGACAAAAAAGTTTAAAAATTAGTGAATTTATACATAAAACCGGTGTTAATTAATTGGAGCTACTTTAAATAATTAGGTAGATAACTCCTAATTATTTCATTATTAATTTTTAATCACGTCTCCTTTACCCACGTTAAAAGATATAAAAGTTCACTATACCTAAATGAAGATTCAGTGATATTAGAGAAAGAAGTATAATAAAAAAAATCCTTACTGCTTTCAGGCTGCATCTCTGACAAAGCAACTGCGACCAATAACAAAACAAACGCAAAGCTCCTCATTCTTACAATATTAATCTTAACATGACTGTGGACAGATACTCAAGCGGTATTTATAGTGTGATTTTATCTTGAGTTATTGATAACTCTCTGTTGACGCATTCTACGTTTCCAGGGAATACTTAACAGTTTATTAGCCTTACTTACTCCTTCAATCGCACGAGATTGCGGGGACTACCGGGAAGTAATTCGGCTGAAACGAACGAACGAACTCTTGCAATGCTGACTGTGGGCTGCAACAATAATGTCCTTATCGTAATCTATCGTCATAGCCCTCTAAATAATGGCTTATTATTTTTGCAGTAGGTACATCACAAATATTGAGTAAAATTATTTGACCAGAAATCCTTAAGTTGGCTGATGATTCCTATTTGCTGAGATGCGTCTGCCTAAATTGATTCATCGAAGAAAGCGAAGAGAACTCCTGATTCCATATTGATCAATACATGGCTGTTATACTTTATTTTGTTATGATAATAATAATATACCTCTTGTTTTCGTCTAGTGCGGTAACTTGCAGTTCTTAGAACAAATGGTCAGAACAAATACACATGGTCTGGTAATGGATTGTATGACCAAAATTTTCACAAATTAAGACTTGTTTTAAAATGAAAGAAGACGTTGCAATGTCCATACAAAATTACCCCACGTTGGACAGCTGAGATAAACATCTCAAGGTGGGGCTTTTATGCAAGTCTTCTTTACGTTTATTTTTGCTTTTGATATTTTCGGGCCCATGTATGATGTGTATGTTCTGAAACACAGTAAGGACGATAAAATATGATAATAATAATATGTGCGTTTTATTGTTCATAAAATCTATGTAAACTAACTGCTGGTAGTGAGGATAGAAGACTATAAAATACGGATAGCACAGCACAGGCAGACATTACTGACTAACATTATGAAGGTGCTATTTGTACTCCTACTATTCGTTGCTGCTGCAGTGAGTAATAAACATCACCAAGCTCATCATCAACATCAACATCAACATCATCATATAGGTAAATGTTTTTAAGACCTTGTCCCTTGGGACAATAATGTTTAGTGTTCCTCAAGGGCTGCAAACTGTAGTAAAAATTTTGCAGTAAAAAATTTACAGTGCGTGTTTTTCTGATGCCCAACAAATATTAGGATGGAATTTCAAAAAATGCATATCATATTATTTTTAACCTATAGCGTGGTCATACTGACTTAGATTGGATGTCTGATTTGGTGTTTACTTGCTTCCTTTAATTAGCACGTGATTACTTGTTTAAAAAGGTATCACACACACCCATAAGAAATTGGTATGAGAATTTTTTTCGACGAGTAGGGCTGAACCATTTATATTAAAGTTATTTGAATTTTCGCAGAAAAGTCAGCGGGCTATGTGGCGTTGGAGGCGGAGTGTAACAACTTGAGTTGCCTGACGTCCTGCGTCTTCTCCGAACGGGGTAAAGGAGAATGCTCCGGCAGTATGTGCGTCTGTAAAAAGGAGAGTGACAAGTGAACTGGTATCGTTCACTTAGGCAGTGATTTAAGGCTGATGCAAACGTCATGTAATGCCAATGATTGATGAAACAGAAGAGTGATATCAACATCATGCATACATGGGATGGGTAATGATCGGTCATAATCATTTAATGGTAAATTATACGTCAGCCATGTAAACGCATAACGTTAGCATCAGCTAAAATTGCTGGCGTTCGCAGAAAAAAAGTATAATCAAGTAAAATAATGTTCGTGCATTTTTATTTTATCTCTTACATTTTCAGAGTAAATTATGTAAGTACACCAGAAAAGATTGCTAAAAAGGTAATTTATTAAAAAAAACTAGGTATTTTTTTTAAATATTGAAATTACTACATTAATTGGAAGAAAGAAGTGATTATCTGGCACAAAAGAGTAAAGCAAAGAAACTTGAAATGTATGCAGTCCCTTACCATTCTAATATGTAGTAGGTACTATTAAAATAGTAAAATTACCAGTAAAATACATACATAGTTGATTTGGTGTCATTGAAAATTACATGAACTTTATGTTGCCCGTATCTAGAAATAATGATGCTCTATAAATGCCCATTAACATATTAACCCCTGTCAGTAGAGTTCGGCATGAAAATTGGAATAAGGTAATATTAATTCAAGTTTATAAAACATTAACTCTAACTCGCGGAACCCAAAGTGCAGGCCTGCTTAATCTGAAGTTCCAATTCTCCACTCCTCTCACGCAAAACAAGATGTCAGTATGAGCGATAATAAGCGACACTAGGCAAATAAAAAAGTAGGTTAGGCTTTATTTTTACTTGAACGGACTAAAAATTTTTGGATTCATATTATTTACATACTTGTGTTGACTAGAAATTCTATAACACGTTTTATTGTTCATAAACGTAAAGTAGGTTACATAGGTTGTATGATGGTGGTCATAGCGGTTCAAAATACTATAAAATATGGATAGATTTCCAGAGCCCGTCATTATTGACTGGCAATATGAAGGGGCTACTGATTCTCACACTGTTCGTTACTGCCACAGTGAGTAATCATCATGACCATTTAGGTAAGTATTAAAAACAACAACAACATGATATTTTAGAGCAAGGATTTTTTTTGTATATTTGTAACAAAGAACTAAAGTACAAGGAGTTTTCAACAATGAAAATGCAATTAAACATACCTACTTATAATTTTATTAATATTTTGTATTTTCTTTGTTTCATCTTTGATCCTCTTCTATAAGAATTTAAGGCTCATCTTTCTATGCCACACACGATTTCCACGTGCCTAACTAGAAAAGTGACGCGATTCAGTCGAATCAGTCGTTTTGGCCTGTTAAATTTGCAAGGCGCCTTATTCGCTAACAGGTGTACTACAATGAGCTTCAATTACCTATTATCTGTATCCTTTTAAATATTTACAGGTGTTTGTTTTATATGTTTTTGCAGAAAAATTAGCGGGTTACATGCCATTAGAGGAGGAATGCGAAGAGCTTGGTTGCTTTGTAGTTTGTCATTTCAACGGGTACGGAGGGGGCACATGTTTTCCCGAAGGTGTATGCAAGTGTGATGATCCGTTGAAATAAGAAATAAACTTTATGTCAGCCACCTTGTGGATATAATGCTGATGCAAACTTCATATTATAATTAAATACTGAATATAATCAACAACATGTATATGTTGTTGATTATATTCAGTATTTAATTGTAACTTGTGTATACAAGTTTTTCATATTATACTGTCTCTTATTCTTCTTCTTGTCGTGTCGACAACAAACCTATACATACAGTGTCAGCCCAAAACTCCGCTACGAGAGTGGCGTTGTCAGTAACATTTGTCTCATATTGTATTTGGAAGACGCCTGCTTAAGCTTCAGAGGCTGCGCCATAAAGTTGAAATAAATGTCGTATAGCCTGACCAGGAACATAAAAACCCTCGCCATGTTGCGGAAAACTAATGGTACTAATTTCTTTTAATGGCAACAGTAACTGAAAACTTCATTGACATGTCACCTTGCATGTCAGTCTATTGCTGTCAAAGTGTAAACAAACTTTATTTTAAATGTGCGCAATTGGTTTTATGAATTAAATTGCTAAAATATTTTTATAGTCGTGAAAGAAAAGTGGTTCACAATGTGTTAAAGTATTTGTCGAAGAGAAATACTAAGGGTTCGGACAATATTTTCATTGAATAATGTTTCCGACAAAGGTTGTCAAATTGACTGTCATGTTTATCGTATAGTACAGTCCACTATGAAAATTAGCTGTGGTTTGTTTCAACTACCTATTTTAAAAAAATTGTCACTTTCTAAGTGTTGAATTTTATGGGATTGGGAAAGAAGTACCGAGTTTGAAGCGTTCATGAGCAGACATTGCAGTTGAATATTCAAGATCTGAATTTGATTATTGATGAATAATAAAATAAATCTACTAGCTCGATTGATGGTTTCATTTAATTTATTTAAATCAGGTTACCTATAATAATATTTTTTCGTTAATTTATGAAAATATCAAATTAGCCCGTAATCCTGAATCCTGATACATAAAGTTAGCCTATTAATTTAACACAGGTACGACTGTACTCAGTGTTGCACTATCAAATGCAATTGAGGCGCCTCTATGCCAGGGTTTTTATGTTCCTGGTCAGGCTATACAATAAAATGTAAACTAAAACTTGTGCAAACTAACACCAGTGCATTTTTATTTTACTATGACATTCGTACAAACATAGGCAAGAACAAAGTTTTTCAATTTTAACAATAACCCAAAATAACAGCCACAAAATTATCATCTTTGCACTAGTTTAGTACGATTTTATTATTTTTGTACCTACCTATCCAAAATACAAAATTTTTAAAAGCAAATGTATAATGTTAAAATGTAATGCCTTTTTGGTGGCACTTTGGACTTTTTGCTTCTTGTATGAAATGACATAGGTAGATATGACGTTTTTATTGAAACTTTATGTTATGCCCGCATCTAAAATTATGTCGCAGCCCTACACTATTATTATGTTCATTACAAAAGTGCGATGAAAAGAAGCAACAAAGTAACAATAGTTTAATCATTTGCTTAATGCTTAGCATAATCATTATAAGTGCCTTTTTCGCAGTGATAGATACTTGAACAGAGGTTTAACTAAAAAATTACTTGGCTCTATTTTTTAAACGACTGAAATTGTCGGGTTCATATTAAGTTTTTCATACATTTGTAATGCTGACATATGGCAGGTTTTATAATTCATAAACTTAAGTACTACTTATAATATGATGGTGGTCGTAACCGACAAAAATAATATAAATTACGGATAGAACTCCACAACAGTCATTCTGGCTGGCAATATGAAGAGGTTACTCATATTCATACTGTTCTTTGCTGTCACTATGGGCAATCACCATCATCACCATGTAGGTAAGTTTAATGACCAATGAGTTTAAAACTATTGTTATCATGGTTTATGTTAGTGAATTTTGTGATTGGTGGCGTGCCCTGAATGTTGTGGCGCGTGCCATTGGTTCGCCATCCCTGGCTTATGTAGGTATCTTACTAAGATTTTATCTTACTAATATTATA